ACATACATGCACACACACACGCACACACACACACGCACAAAGAGTGGCATCCACCACGAACACACACACACACACACACACACACACACACACACACACACACACACTAAGAGTGGCATCCACCACGAACACACACACACACACACACACACGCACACACACACACACACTAAGAGTGGCATCCACCACGAACACACGAGCAGACGTCGGCCTCACCGCACGGCAGGCACCAGGCAAGGGCCATGAGGAGGTCGCCAAAGTAGTTGATATGGCGAGCAAGGCCCCACCAGCCAGAGGCAATCAGCTTCGTGCCACGGGCAGTCTCAATCGTCTCAAGATCTGCCGTAAGCGCGCGCGCGAGAAAGAGAGAGACAGACAGAGAGACAGACAGAGAGAGAGAGAGAGAGAGAGAGAGAGAGAGAGAGAGAGAGAGAGAGAGAGAGAGAGAGAGAGAGAGAGAGAGAGAGTGTGTGTGTGTGTGTGTGTGTGTGTGTGTGTGTGTGTGTGTGTGCATGTGGGTGTATATGAGCGTGGGTGTGTGGAAGTGTATTAAAGAAACAGACTCACGCGATGCCCAGGGCAACGCACGAGCCCATGTGCAGACACAGCACTCCGTTATGCAACTCACGCTTCACAGACGGGTGGTTCGGGTTGCGCTTGAACATGTCCTTCTGCCCGTTGGCCGAACGGAAGATCCAGTAGCCTGAAGCAACACGACAAAGGTGCAAAGCAGATGTTGCGGTGGGGATGCGAAGGACCAGGGCGAGTTGGTAAACACGGGACAGGAGAGGGAACCCGACAAGCGGAGCGCACGAAAGACCAGATATTGCACACAGAAACAGGCAGGCACAGTCCCACCAGCGCAATCACAACCACCACCAACGCAACCACCACCAATGCAACCACGGCAGCCGCACCGATGAGCTGGCATGCGACGATGGCGGCGACCATGGCTGGGGAGAGGTGCTGCGGAAAGTCCACGAGGAAGCGCGACTGCAGGGTGTATGTAAACGGAACCCAGGCCAGGTCGCCAAAGACAAGCATGTAGCCAAACCCGTCCATGCAGATGTCCATTGTCGACAGCAAGGACGGCTGCAATCGAAAGGGGAGGAGGAGGAGAGGTGGGGGGGGGCAACGTGTTTACGTATGTGTGAGTATGCCCGTGCGTGTGTGTGCGTGTATGTGTTGGGGCGTGGTTTTGTGATGGTAGCATTGCTGATAAAAGGACAGGACAGGCGCACCTGGACACAGTAGGACAGACCCCCAAAAACACACACACACACATACATGGACACGTAAGCTGTCGCGCAACGGCTCACCTCTGAGTAGAAGGCGTCCAAGACGTACCAGGTCTGGAAAGCGGTGACGAGGATCATGGCGGTGGACACGCTGCCGGTGCGCTCATACTCCTTGGCCATCATCCCCAAAGTGATGAGCACCTGGCGGATGATGATGAT